TCAAAAGATTAACAATGCAGCAAAGACTCCATATTTCTGTATCTGTCACAAGTTTCCAAACTTTACACAGGTCTTGAAATTCCTCCTTCACCACAGCTGAGTCCCCCACCAACAACAAACAATAAATATCTAGTCTAATAAAACTACCGTTATGTGATGTTACTACTGGTTTGTTACACCGCATGTGATCGGTAGCAGGATGTTATCTGAATTAGAAATGTAAAACTAGAAAACATTAATATTTTTTGTTTATTTCAAATCCACATGCTCATCATGTGTAGAACTTGCAGACATGATCTAAATGAGTTATGGTGCTTCTGTATTCCAAAGGCCAAGTTTTAATGACTCAGACCTGAAAGGCAGGCGTGATCGACACTTACCGCTCACATTGAGACACAGCAGCAACATAAATAGCCTCTTTATGGAATGGCAGAAACTCGGGATCATAATTGGGGCCACAATAAATCATCATAACCGAGAAATGTATCCTCCTTGACTCATTCTAAAAAGTGTGGACTCTTGTCTGTTTGATTGAAGAGCTGCGGTGTGACCCCGGTGATGAATGGTGTCTACGTGTCGCTCAAACTATTCTGGCTCAGATATTTGGTTATAACCCGGAGTTCATACTGTAACCTTAACCCCCGTCACCTGTCAGTTTTCAGCCTTGTCCTGTCAAGGGATATGAGGCTGCCCTGACAGAGACTTCTTTTCTTGGTTCGCAACATTAATGAAAGCCACCGGAGACATTTCTCTCCTCTTACGAACAAACTGTTCTATCATCATGCATCAGGGTTGCTCTTTAATCTGACACACCCCTGGCCTTGGTTAACCAAGTATGACTGTAGAAAATGATTCTAACTTTAAAATAATTCTGCTGCTCTTACATTTAAAACTCCTCAGCTTTATCTTTTAGAACTTAAAATGAGAAAGTAATAAATCACAAGGTTACAGAGCTCATCACTCAGCCAACAAGTAGTTACAGTATGACTAAATGAAAGAAACTATTGCAGTTGTCATCCCTGCTCCAGGCCAGATGATACACAGGGCTGTCATTGACAAGTCGTGCTGTTAAATGACTGTCTGAACCCTCTGGCCAGTGTTTGACTATTTTAAGGCCGCATCATTTTCCAAATATTAGAGCAGCTTCATTATTCTCTGAACAACAAGCCTCTCTGCCAATATTTGGGTTAAATGTTTGGCAACAGTTGGTTATTGTTTCAGATGCAGGACGAGTGGTTTTTGGCCTCCTGCCCCTGTTTCTCCCACAATGCTACTCCAAAGTGTGCATGAGGATTATTTATAGCTGCAGCCAGGAGGCCTTTGAAGCGTAGCTCTCAGTCACCGGCGTACGATGGTATGTGTTTTGAAAATGCGTCCATCCACAGGGCTACTCCGTCCGTCAGCTGGTGGAAACCTCACTGTAAACATGGCAGTTAAAGGCAAGAAAACTGGGCTGCATCGATGTACTGTGTGGACCCTGATGTAGCAATGATCACACACAGCTCCATAAATAATCATAGTATGTTCATACCCTAATGATGTTCTTATGAAATATATACGATCTCGTGTCTGTACATATTTTTAAAACAGTCACAATCTGATCAATTTAATGCAAGACGTAATTCACTGTTGATTGGCAGTCTCCTATCCAATCAGGGGTGTATAGTATTTGAACACATGAATGCAGCCAATCAGGAACTAAACCCTTTACTTTACTTGTATTTGGGAAACCTCATAAAAACAGTTATTCTCCAGTATTATCACATTAAAACACACTTGGATCAATAAATACTTGTATGGTTAAAAAAGACATGATAGGGGCCCAGGAAATACACATTTGCACACGTCTCGTTAGCTTTTCTCTTCCTGTGATATTATGTTAATCTTTTGAAAAAATTAAAAACTCAAGTCATTTAAACTCAAACAAGGACGTTATTCATAAAAGCTCACATACATTTTTTCCAATGTTGAAGTGGAAGTTCTTTTCATGACTTAAACAGTTCAAACACTTAAAATCTACACCTATCTCTTATCTCCACATTTACCGAATTTACATAAACATCCGATAAGACGTTTGTATTAAAGCAAACATTGTTAAGCTCTTTTAAAGTGTTACATTTCCCTGCCTGTGGAATAACTCATACATTATAATGACTGTTTTTTATTTACATCGCACCATCATCATCAGCCTCCAGCAGTGGATACGTTGTGGTAAAGCTTTGAACAAAGATGAGACATTTTGACAAAACGCATGTTTGCTGCTCAATTTTTTATTGAAATACATTCACAAATAAGTAAGCATCATTGATCATTGAATGTTTGTTTAAGTCACAATCCAAAAATCCAATCTTAGATATTTCAACAGTTTTTGTTTTGACATGCAACTCACAGTTTTAGAATCAATTTTAAATAAATTTGTTTGTAAACCAAAACATCTCATGTAATCTGCACTTTAGACCCCCGAAAATATGAAAATAATTATGGTCAAAAATACTGAACTTGTGCAAAACAAATGTGAGTGTTAGTCAATTTGCAAGTCAACGTTGTAGAGAATGCAAAAGCATAATTAGTGAATACACACTATTGTTTTGAGCGTATGATGCCAAAAGTTGATGTCGTTAGCATCTCCCACAAACTGACGGTGAGAGAAAGGTAAAATGTATTAAGGCATCACCCTTTCAACCCCTGCCTTCTTAGAAACAGAATACCAATCGCTCGCTTAAATTTACCCATGAAAAAAAGAAGACCACAAGAATTCATCTATGGATATTTCCTTTATTTTCGCCTATGGGTAATTAACCTTTCACATTAAAAAGTCCTGTGAGCTGAGGAGTTCTGGAAAACGCACTCAATACTTGTTCTATGCACACAAAGCTGTCCCTGTGTGCTCTCAAATCTTGACTTGGAAATCGATCATGGCTATAATCTGCTTTCTGTTCACTCCGTAGCTTTGTCACGAACAGTGCTCCATACTCATGCAAATATTTTACAGGCTAAGGCGTGTTCTTCCTGAGTTTTGGTCAGAAACACAGAGGCTCCTCTAGATCTTCAGGTCATTCAGCCTGCTCTTGTTGTTGCTGTGCTTGCTTGACTGACTGTTTCTGCGCTGGTTTTCAACGGGCATCTCAATGGCAGGAGTGGAGGTTTTCCTCTCCTTCACATCCTCCCCCTCTTTTCCTTTCCTCTCCACAGCCATATTGTCTCTGTTCTGCTTGTAAACCACTTTGCTGTTGTAGGGGCTGTAAGCAGAGTTTGGCTCCGCTATGCCGTACTTTGAGTCTGTGGGGAAGGGCTCGGGCACCACAGGATGACCGGCAAAGTAGTTGTAGCTTGGTACGAAGGGCATGACCGGCTCAGTGAGGTGCCTGGAGGCCTCGCTTGCGGCCTGCGATCGTCTGTAGCGGAGCCCCTGGTGGCACTTTGTGAAACCAAGGTGATACATTTCCACCAGGTTGAGCAGCAGGGAGATACAGGCCACCCCCAGCATGAAGAGGATGAAGACCGTCTTCTCGGTGGGTCGGGAGATGTAGCAGTTCACCACGTTGGGGCAAGGCCAGCGGTCGCAGGTGTACATCGGCTTGAGCTCAAAGCCATACAGGAAGTACTGAGCAACAATAAAGGCCACTTCAAACAGGGTCTTGAAAACAATGTTGAAGACGTAGGTTCGCAGCAAAGCGCCTTGCAAACGCACATGACCCTGGTTGTCTTTAACTGGAGCCTTCTTTGTCTTGCCCTGAAGCATTTGCTGCTGCTTTTCATTTTGGATGGCGAGTTCCTTCTCTTTATGCTTTTCCTTTTCCTCCATGCGGACCAGATGAAGGATGTGGCCCAGATAAATGAGAGTCGGCGTTGAGACAAAGATTATTTGCATCACCCAGAAGCGGATGTGAGAAATGGGGAAGGTCTTGTCGTAGCAGACGTTCTGACAACCAGGCTGCTTGGTGTCACAGGTGAAGCCGGACAGCTCATCGCCCCACACCTTTTCAGCAGCGGTTCCCAGCACCAGGATGCGGAAGATGAAGAGCACCGTCAGCCAGACTTTGCCCACAACGGTGGAGTGTTCCTGGGCGCTCTCCAGCAGCTTCCCCAACAAATTCCAGTCCCCCATACTGGCTCACAGATATGGCCTCAGCTTTATTGAAAAAACCAGGATGTAAGACTGTAAAAAAAAAAAAGGTGTAAATTTATCAGTAAGCTTCATAGTTATACATATAGTTGGATGACAGAAACATTATGTCCTGAAACTACACAGAGGCACCTGATTATTATGCTACTTGAACGCAGCAGTAACAAGCTGCAAATACAATTCTGACATAGAACTTTTTAAAGTTGATGTTTAAAAATGCCACATTGGAGGCAGATATGATGCCATTAAAATGGTCAGATATGAACCAGAACAGTAATAAGTTACCCAAAGCTGAAAGCTAAAATATCTGAATAGAGCCTTTTTTCATCAAACAGTCACACTGACCTTTTTTTAAATCTTTTGAGGGCCAATGATTAAAGCAGCATTAAAAGCAAGGGGTCACTGCAGGATCCAAATCTTGATACCATCACTGTATCCTTTCTTTTAATGCATGAAGAATTTATCAGTAAAGTCTGTTAGTAAGTTTGTTTGTTAATAAATGATGCTATACATACACTTTCAAGGCTTACTCATGACATCACTTTTCTGTGTATAATTGCAAATACTGTATCAGGTTTTGCTCGCGGCATAGCGCTTCAGACACCCTGTAACCACAGGTCACTGGACTTCATAAAATCCAGAAGTCACTTTTCAATAGGAACATTGATTGATCATGAGTTCAACATTTGTATTCTGAAATGATGCGATCTATCCAGTGTGCAGTGATGAAACGGACCAGGACACAGCGGACTGTGTGTGAGAGAAAGCCCTGCAGCAGGCTGGGGAGACACGATGCCTCAATGTGGATCTTGTGACAGAACCCAACAGTGCTCCCCAACTCCAGAATTAGGTTTCTAGTTTGAATTCCAAGGGACTATTCGTTATGGCATGGCAAAAATTATTTTACTGTAAAATAAAACATCCCTTATAATTATGATCATACTCAGAGTGACTGTGAATGAGAGCACCTGTTGTAAATATGAATAACACCAGACAAGAAATAAGGATCCAGCAAATCAAGTTTTATATAGTAGTAACACTTGTTAGTAGGATT